ATATCTTAGCAGAAAACAGTAAGATACTAAGCTTCTGTTGGGAACCTGCAGTTTCCTTGTCAAATGAGATACCTCTTGTTAGAGTCTCTTAATAGAAACAGTCTCAGGGTGGATGCTACCAGAAGATATCAGAAGTACAGGAACTGAGCTTGTAAAAAACACATAAAATTGAACCTCCGATCAGGAAAGGTTCAAGGCAACCATGGTTATTGAAGGAATAAGGAAGAAGTTTTCAAAATTCTGCAGAGATTTAACAGAAGCTAAGAGTTGGACACTTGATGGGACTCTTTCTTGTAACCATGAGAAGACAAGGGGAAATGAAGGAGGACAACGGCTGCACTGGCCTCCACACCCTCGCATGACTGCATGAGGTGGTCAAGACACCTTTTCACTGCAAAGTACTTGGCTACTCCACTATTTCCCGGGCTCATGCACCCACACTGACTCATTCTTGAAGAAGCATGAGAATGTTTCTCCACCAGATTCTGCCTCTAGTTACTTTAAATACACTATTCATAAACTCCAGGACTAGTTAAAAAATTAATTTCCTGCCATTTAAACCTAAAACTGCACCTTGATCCAAGAACTGGGAAGTGCCCCTTAGTCTTGTAGTCTAAACATGGCTGAAATGACTGGAATCACATCTGAGACATTTTACTTATACTAGAAATGGTGAAAGACATCTGGAATAATATGTGAAATGAATCAGTTGCATTGGCCAACCATTGCGTTCTTTACGAGCCATGTTTCTCTGGACTTTGGTCAAGACTACGCAGAGTTTTGAGTTTTGCTATAGGGTCAAGCCTCAACTATCTCTGTACTGATTCCACAAGTCCTGCTGACATCAGTGCCACAGCATCCGTTGGAACCAGTAAAGCCACAGCAAGATGCAGAACAATGCACCACCCAAGAGCAGGAAAGCTCTGAAACAAAGGAGAAGAGGAAGAGGGAAGAAGTGGAATTTGTGCTAGTTCCACTATTTGATATCATCTAAGTTGCACAGAGGAGAACTTTGGCACTGCTGTCGTGGAGCAGGTCTTGTGATGAGAAAAAAGGGAAACTGATAAGGGATGCTTTTTGTTTCGCAGTGCTGCAAAACATACAGGTCTGCAGCGACAATGCTGCTGTTATTCTTACTTATGCAACTCTACCAAAAAGGATCAAGTCCAGAAATGTTTTAACCAGCTACTGACTCAGCTATAGGAAAAAAACCAACCCTAACTGAACAGGAGCTGGTTTGCTGGGAAGAGATCTTGCCAAGACCAAATAATACAGTGAAGAGATCCAAGCAAAGATGAGACGGATGTGGCCAAAATTAACTGAGTGTAGAGGCAAAGAGAGAAGATATGGAGAAATGATGTTGTTAGGCTGAATGGCAGGGGAGTTTCAGAGATCTGCCATTGATTATAGATGCAATACTGTCAGGCACAAGGCTTATGTGAGTTTAGATTTATACCTCAGTTGTAATATCCAGTGGGTGACTCAGTTAATGATAACTCCTTTGTCCTGTGTTTCTCTAGATCAAGCAGTGCAGATAATTATGAATAATGATAATGATTTGGGTCTCGGAGCAAATTTGCACAGATAGGCACATGCCTATGGGTGATGTGGCTTCATGCACAATAATTAAACACGTACACCATGGGAAGTGAAATAGAAAATGGGTAAAATCATTCCTTTACAAGAAGATTTTTTTTTTAGATTTTGAACCTGAAAAGTTGTACCGTGTGCCTATTGCAGGTAGCTGGCAGATTGATTTTAGAGTTCATAGACCTGAGAAAACAGAAAGCTTGCCCAAACAAGAGCAGAACGTGGCGCAGAAATAAACACAGAAGCTAACTCCGAGTGTGCCGACACGTCACGGAGCAGAGCGGTGGCACGCAGAGACACCAGCACCGCTTCAGAAACCTCTCGAGCTGCCTCAGGACATTGCTGTGCCTGGCTCCCAGACATCTGGCAGAGCCACCCCACACCTGGGCCAGGACCAGCCAACCCAAACCCGCTCAGCTTCCTCCGACCGGCAGCTCACCGCGTGCTGCAGATGGGCCCTGGCAAATCTACTACGCATCTTTAGACACGCTGCTCTAAATTGCCATCAGTGTGGTCGCTTGCACATATTTGAGAGTAGAAGTTGCTCCATTGAATTGTAGGAGGTAGACGCATGGTTCCATGGGGATCTATTCAAATTTCTTTTGGGCGGATAGGGTTTCACAAGATAGCAAGGTTACTTTGAAAAACTTGCTTTTGTGAAAATGCCACTTATATTTTGCTTCTAGGATCAACACAGCAAGTAAGACTTTCTCACACCCTCTGGCAGCTTCCAGAGGAAAAGTTCAGAGGCTTATCATTTCAAAAGTTGCAATCAGTTCAAGGGAGAATTTTGTCATTTAATGTTTTTAACGCATGTCAGTGGGCTGCCTATGTGGGAACAGCAGCTGACGTCAGAGAAGACTGTCATTTAGCAACAGGTATATGGGGGAAAACAAGCCTCTTCTACATCTCCAAACAAGGAAAATGTTTAGGAGAGTCTCAAGATCTTTCTAGGCAGTATCTCCCATCTTTGGAAAAAGCCAACATAGCTGGAATTTATCCCTACTAACTTTGAGCTTCATTACAGGCTCCATTACAGACTCCCTGTACCGGTAATAGTAACACAGACACAGAGAGGCACTTCCAGAGGGTGAGCTGGTGGCCTGAATAGCTTTATTGTCAGTGCCAAGATCTTCAAGTTCATCAGTTCATTCTCTCTTAACACCTTCTGGGCATGATTCAACTTCAGACTAAGGCACCTCCATTTGGATGTCTGTATTGAGGTGTCTAAACATCCATTACATCCACAAAAACCTTGTCTTTAGATTAGGAATTCGAGGGCTGGATTCACCTTTGCATCCAACTAGACTAAGCCTCTCTCTAAGGCCCAGTTCTTCACATGCCTTAGAGCTCATCAGCAGTCCTTGCAGATTTTTAACTACAACGCTTTTCGAGGTGTTTTGCAGCACTTGCTGAGCAGGTGCCTTAACTTGCAGTGCCCATTATCAGGGGTGAGCACCTCACTCATAGCTCTATCGAGCCTGAGCAGACCAGAGTGTGCACTGCAGTGACGGTAGCATCACATCAGTCCCAAAGGTCCAGCGAGACCAACAAAGACCCAAAGGTCCAAGCCAAGCTGTGGTGGTCCAACAGCTTGGCTTGCTCTGGTCATAGGAAGATGTCCCCAAGTGGCAATGTTGTTCTGGTCTCAGTCACTTGTTGTTACATGCTAACTGGCTGCTGGAGAAGCATTAGTGCATGTGCTGGCCTTATGGTACCTGCCACCTGCACAGTTTTAATGGAACTTCTTCAGCCTACATTACAATTTATAGGAATGTCGTCTAGTCTTTAAAAGACTGGCCATCAAAACATCCCTGCGAAACAGGGAAGAACCACTGTCTCCACAACTCAGACTGCGGCATGAAAAGATGGAGCTTTCTGCTGGTTTCTTTATCTAAGAAAAAGTTGTCTCAATTACAGTAAAATAACTATACATTGGCCAAAGAGACTTCTCTCTGGGGACAGAATTTCTCTCCTCCCCCCGCCTTGTGCCCGTAATCCCCTGGGTTTTGACACAGAGTCCAGGTTAGCGCCCCCCCGCCCCCAAGCTCTAAGGAGGTATCACACAAGAGCAGGCATGGTGGGACCATTAAACCCACTGCCAAAAGCAGACCCAACAGGGAAGTGCTCCTCCTGGTTTTAGAGTAGGAAGAACGGAGTTCTCCAGCTATCTAGCTTCTTTTGTAAAAACTCATCGCAGGTGGTCTAAGACTAAAACCTCCCATCTCCTGTTACCCTAAAGGAGAAGAAGGGTGGCTCCTTGCTAAGGAAGTGAAGTGGCAAGGACACGCAACTTCGTCTGCCACAGAAAGGAGAGGAGATGATAGCGTGTATTCTTTTATTTTCAGTGGCAGAGCATCAGACTGCAAGGCAAACTGCCTAACGTTTTCTGCAGCAGTGTAATAGCTAACCTTTCATATTAGTTCCCATGGGTACTTTGAAAGACTCTGTCTAGAAAGGAGTTACACGTTTACTGAATAAAATCAAGGAAAATGTAACTGGATTCTTTCGCTTTTCTCGTACAAATGTTTCTTCAGCAGCTCAGAGCTGGCTTTGAACTTTTTTTGGTAAAATGAATCTAATTAGCTGCAGATTGAATCCTAGATGAATGACACAAATTACAAAATATGACAAGGAACCTTAAAACACCTTGAAGCAACAAGTACAAGCATTTGACAGACTGAGGTCAATACAACATTTTCTTTATCTTAATTCTGCCCGTGAAACTGAGCAACATCAAAGCAGAGGCTGTAAAGGCCACTGTAGCACCAAGCTGCTCTCTGTCATCACGGCTTAAAGGGAGCTGGATCCTGCACTTAATAATTCCCAGGGGAAATGCCTCATGAAGAGAGCGTAGTGCTGAACTCTGCTTCCAGCTTCGCTCTCAATATAGCTGAGAGGAGAATTTGACCTTTGCTAACTCGATTAATACCAAATTAACAGATGGCTTTGGACTTTACTTGAGACCGTTTGCTTATCCTTGTGTCTTGCTTTTCTCCCCAAGACCCAGCAGAGCCCACCTCTGCCCGCGCTGGAAGTGGGGGGCAAGTCCCCCAGTGGGGGAGAGAGCAGTGGAGCTGCATATCCCTCGTCCACAACCTGCCCTGATGGAGCAGCTGGTTTCACCCTGGATGCAATGCCTTAGCGTTTTTAAGAAGTGTTGCTCATGTTTTTGACATTTTGCAAAGGTTACTCTGAGATTTCTATTAAAATAATGTGGGAGAGGTGCCTATGGAAAAATACAGCATTGGCATTCAGAGCCTCATTGCAAAGCACCTTAAATTAAATGAAGCAGCACTGATACAACAAATTTCTACCAAACCCTCATGATTTATCACAAGCATAACCTTCTTTATGTAATTAAAACAGACTCCAAGTAGCACAAACACAGGAGATTAAGCTCGTCTTACCTGGAATAGGTATAATGGGAATACTTTCATTGGGGACCACGCGGGGGGAACTGCTGTCCTCCACATAGAAATGGGCAGTCTGAAAACACTTTCTGTTAAAGGAAAAAGAAGAGAAATAGATTCAGGGTGTGAAAAACTGCCCTCTGAAAAAATAGCCGAAAACATCTGCACGTGTTCTACTTCTCCATTTCTGTTCCATTTCTGCTCCATACTTTCAGACGTTATAGTTTTAAAACATCGATGCGTGAAAAATTACGTGCGTTTTCTACAATTACAATCCTAATTCCAGATTCTCGTGTGCTCTAATTCATTGACATCTGACATCCACCCATCATAAATGCCTCTATATATTATTGCTAAGTACTATTGAATATGAAATTATACTCACAAAAGTTAGTGGTTGCAAAACAGGTTTCAAATACATAATTCAGAAAGAAACTTTGCACACAACAAACATACTCAGCATACAGTTCAAGCCAAAATCCATCTAAGACACTAGCATTTCCAGGGAAAATACCCTTACTGTAAAAGTTTCTGCTGCGTAACAGCCAACAGACAGTAATACAGCATCCGTAACTGCTGCATATCATGACGTTTAGCCATGAAAGTTATCCTTCAAACATTACGGTTTTTCGTTTGTTTGTTTTTTAACGCTAAAGCCATATAACCCTCATCCCATCCTCCTCCTGCAAACTCGTATTACAGATGCTGCTACAGAAAAATGCAATAGACGCTTAGTGTGGGCCCCAGGACTCATCTCTGAAAAGGCCTATAAAGAACAGGAGAACTTAAATCCACCTGACTCTTTCTTTACCTGTATTTAATGCAAAGCAGGGAGCACAAGCTGGTCATCACAGACAAGGTACTGAGCAGAATAACATCAAGAGATCCGAGGAGACTCTGCATGGTGATGTTAACTGAGGCAGGGTTTTCCAACACCGGCGTCACTGCTCATTGCTGACTTAATGAGCTGCTTGAGGCTGGAACTGAATATTTAATGAGTCTTGCTTGGTGTGAGCAGCTATTGTGGCAGGAGAAGGGTCTGCTCTCATCTGTCAGGGCGCTTAACAATAGCATCCCCATTGCAGAAAGATCCCCCTCATTGCAGCCCTTAATGAACTGCTCCTCAACACCTGGGCAAAGTTTGCAGGCGGCCTTGTGAGCGGAGCCCTTTGTCAAGTTGCCGGTTCCCTTTGCTGAAACATATTTGCACGTAGTGGCTTATAAGTTCCTGCCTTGCAGTCTGCTCCTCTCTAGTTTGGGCATTGTGCTCCCCATAGGGAGCCCGCTCCGCACAGCCGCCTTCCCGGACATAGTCAAAGCAATTTGCGCTCCCTTTGTTTTCAACATCCATACACTCCAGAGAGCAAAAAAAAGTCACTGAAACTCAAATCACTCTCTTAGGCAAAACCAGAAAGTAAAATAATTGCGGGCACTTGCATTCTATGCATTTGTGCTTTCTACTGCACAGTCCCAGTGCTTTATAACGCAACCACATGCTACGGCAGCACAAGTACAACTTAAGACAATACTGAAGCAGAAGAGAGCGGATTTCACAGCATGGAGTAACTGTCTGGGAGCAGCTTTCTATTTTCAGGCACGATGTCTTGCATTGTGCTGAAGTTATTTATTTAGTGAGCATGCTTTTGTTAAGAAACACCATAAGGTGAATTCACACACGAGGACGCAAGACATGCGATAGTCCCGCAGCATTTAGAAACGTTGGCTGAACTCCCCCCCACTACTTGCTCCCCGTTCTCTTTTTTTTTTTTTTGGCAGCCTTTATTTCGGACAATGCACACCCTGGGGGCATGCAGCAGAATAAATCAGTCACACATAAAGAAGAAACTATGAATATGAAACAGGCAAAATGTTCCTGATTTTGATGTATTTAGGCTTTCTCTTGAGTCAATACTACAAAAATCCTTGAACGGCTTCTTCCCGGTAATGAAGGCCTTAAGAAGGTGTTTGATAAAAAGACAGACCTTTACGTAGGGATTTACAGGAATTTTTTAAGCTGATGATACTTAAGGAAAGCAATTATTTTTTATAATTTGTTATTTTATACTCTGAGAGGCTCTGATAGGCTGGCATTATGGTTTTTTATGCAGCCATAAGACAGCTTTTTCTTAATAGCCTCAAAACATGTAATTGTGTTGGATAATCACATTGTGTGATATGTTAAGGCCCATGATGGTGATAGCTGAATACCCAGTCCAGCATATCTCTGCTGAGCACAATGTTGGAATAACAATGTATTAAATGAACATTTCACACAGTAAAGTTTTCTGCAATCATTAATGTCATTAACAATTCCGTATTTTATTCCTGGAAGATGTTCTGTAGCTGTTTTAAAAAGTCAGTCACCATGGAATTTGACTAAAGGTTTTCTCAAGTCACAACCGTCATGCTACAATACACTCTTGTCTGACGTATACACGTATATAATACAGCACACTTATTACTTTACAGTGCTGGATTCTGGCACATTTGGTGAAGACATGCCTCTCAAACTCTTTTTTTTGTTTTCACTTGCTCATAACTGCTGTAAATATTCCAAGTCTGCAGCTGAGCTCGCTGTGCACAGGCCATCGCATCCTTGTTCTCTTGACTCCCTCCATGTCTCAGGGGCGCCCGGTGACAGCGGAAGGCACCACCGATGGGACTATGCATGCTCAAAATTGAGAGCAGGATAAAGTGGGCTGATCTTTAAAAGACCTTTTACGACTGGTTTCACAAAATCGCTGGATGAATTTTACAGCAAGTTCTGCTTACTGGGTCTGTTTCCCACTCTTGCACCTCTCAGTGCACGCATCCCAGGGCACCAGGCAGATGCCTCCAGATCCCCAGTTTGGATAATGTCCATTTTTCAGCCTGGGTGAGGAAATGCCTGGGCCCAAGAAGAGCCTTTTTCAAACGAGTGTCTAGTTTGTAGTAATAAATACTGATAGCTGGGATCAAGGCTACTGAAAGGTATTTCGGCCAATTTAGTATCTGCCTTCTCCCCCACTTCAGAATGCTCCTTCCTATCCCCTGGCATTTCCCCTACCCATTACCTTTCCCTCAGTATACGAACCTTAAGTGGCAGCAGTTGCTAAGGCTACGAGAGGCTGCAGTAAATCTGTGTGTATATGGGGAGGGCTGGGTAAAGGAAAAGGAGAAGAGCAGAAAATTGCTTGTTTCGAGTCACTGGAGAAGCAGCCATGGAGAGGTGGGAGTGGATGCGGGGCCAGACAAGGTGTGAGTCTACAACTGTTTTCACGTGAGCACTTCAGCCCGTAACTGTTAACCCCAGTGTGTATACATGTGCAGGTGTTTGCACCTGTGCACCCATTTGCTCAGGAAACCAACACTGCCAGCAGAAAAAAAAAAAAAAAAGATGTTTTTCTGACAGAAGCGTTCCTTAGTGAATGAGCAATTGGGACTTGTCAATGGCATAAACGATTATTAAAATCTTAACAACCGAAACACTAATTTTAGAATAATTCTTGCGTTTCTGCAGCACTGGTTGAGGAAAAGCAAATCACAGCCTTGATTTCACTTCCAGAATATTTCAGAGAGCCCACATCTTTTTTGCAAAATACCACAGAGTCTGTTGTCTCTGAAATACGCCTGTGTGCAGTGAAGCACACCGTTTTCTCTAGCCCCATATGTTTTTTTGGCTCCCTTTCCCTGGGGTACAATAACTATGCGAGATTGTGGTGATCAGACACACGGTTGTCACATATGGACCAAAATGCAGTAAGTAAAACACTTCGAGATTAGCATCTCCCCGGAGAAGGAGCAGAGGCAGAGTCTGGAATGCAAAGCCGACACGAGGGAGAGCATCCCCCTGCCCAGAATCTTTTTGCAGAGATACCAGCAGCGGGTTATTAAAGCAAACTAACAGGATGCAAAGTCCAGAGCAGCAGTACCTTATTATCAAGGCGCATGCATAAAAATATGCCAAGAGATGGTCCTGATTAGCTGGGTTAAATGCTTGTTCCATCTCCGCTGAGCAAAATACCAGATTAGCTTCTGTAGAAGAAGAGATGCCTCATGAGATTTTGACACTCAAAACAGGTTTCCTCGGTTATTAGTTAATAAACCTCAAGCAGCTTCTCCTTTATACTCATCTAAAAGCGAGAGGGAGAACCAGATCACATAATGGCCTGAAAGCATTTTATTTTCCTGTAGAAGATAGCGCCTTAGTGTTTAGTTAATGCTGCCTCCAATACAAACACATGGCGCGCGCTGCAGTCGATGGGCGTACTGGGAATAACTCCGAGGGCAGTGTTTGGCCTTTACTCCCCCTCACTCCGTCTCACGCGGGCGGCATCCCCCGATCTGCGCTGACAGGCGAGGGATCCGCACCGCTCCGGAGCAGCTGAGGCAGGGAGCGAAGGAGCAAAGGATTATTGCGGAGGGGCAAGTGATGGCCTCTGCAGCGGCTGGCTGAAGCCACCGGGACACGGGCTAAACACGTGAAATATCAAAGGGGGACACTTCACTTTCTGGGGATACCCAAGAGCCGTGTCCTGCCTCACAAGCTGAAGCGACTGGCACATTCATCGCTCCCTTGTTCACTAGGGACCTACTCCTTCTTCCAGGCGTTTCTGTTGGCTGAAGCAGCATGTATTCCCTCTCCAAGGCTAGCCAGATTTATACTACTTTATTTCTGTAATAGCATCTAGGAGCTCAAGGCTCCTGGTTTCTCGCAACTACTCTCTTCTTGGGTCATTACCTCTGAAAGCATGACCGACTCAGGGGCAGATGGTTTGAAAGGGTCCTGGAGGCCTATTCACCACTGTCAGAGAAGGGCAAACCTTGTCCTCTGGGTACCCTTCCTCCAGAAACAGCCTCCAACAGACAGGAGCTCTACAGAATGTACATTTATTAACAAAGAGGCCAATAGTCCCTGCAGCCACCCTACTTTCACATACAGTCCTTAGCTGGTGGGTAGAACAGGGAAGATCGAACAGGAGTCAAACCAGGATCTGTAACGGACCTCTCAACCAGGCTGCGCAGGACATGGCTTAGTCTTCATAAGATGCAACCTGGATATAGGCATTCGTTCACCACGCTCCTCCATCGCGGGAGGGTCTGCAAATAA